CAGCGTGAGGGTATTGACTTCAACGAGGTCTTTGCCCCAACCGGCAAGCAGTCGACCCTACGGGCTTTGCTGGCGAAGGTGGCGGCTGAGGGCTTGCAGCTGCATCACGTAGACATCAAGACCGCTTTCCTAAACGGTGAGCTGGAGGAGGAGGTCTACACTGATCAGCCGCCGGGGTTTGAGAATGGGGACAGCAGCCTCAAGTGCCGCCTGCAGAAGTCTCTGTACGGGCTGAAGCAGGCGCCGCGGGCTTGGCACATTAAGCTGAAGTCCGTGCTGGAGGCGCACGGTTTCCAGGAGTCGGAGGCAGATGCGGGGTTGTACGTGCGACGAGGCAGCGGGGGAGGAGCTGAGGTGTGGCTGCTCGTGCACGTAGACGACATGCTCATCTCAGCAAAGCTGCTGGAGCAGGTGGAGCTGGTCAAGCAGCTGCTGGGGGAGGTGTTCGAGGTTCACGACCTGGGGGAGGCATCGTTTTTCCTGGGCATGGAGCTGCAGCGGGGCGGCGGGAAGCTGAGGCTAACGCAGCAGCGGCAGACGTGGGAGCTGGTGAAGCGGTACGGCCTCGCACACGCCAAGACGCGGTCCGTGCCACTGGATCCGTGCACCAAGCTGGAGCGTGCGAAGGACGGCGAGGAGCTGCTGGACAAGACGCGCGGCTACAGCGAGGTTGTGGGCAGCCTGATGTATCTGGCCGTCAACACTAGGCCGGATATCGCACAAGCCGTGGGAGCACTGGCGCGCCACATGGCGAAGCCGACGGAGCAGCACTGGGAGGCGGCCATGGGCGTGCTGCGCTACCTGGCAAGTACGGCGGATTACGGGCTGTGTTTCGGGGGCGGAAAGATGGAGGTTGAGGGGTTTTGCGATGCGGATTACGCAGGGGATGTTGACACGCGTAGGTCGACGACCGGCTATGTGTTCACGCTTAACGGCGCGGCCATTAGCTGGTCGAGCAAGCTGCAGCCAACGGTGGCGGTCTCCACCCTGGAGGCCGAGTACATGGCTGCGGCGCAGGCCACGAAGGAGGCGTTGTGGCTGCGCAAGTTGATGGGCGATCTGGGGATGGAGAAGAAGTGCATGCAGATCTGGGGCGACAACCAGGGGGCGCTGAGCCAGATTAAGCACCCCATAGTGTCGGAGCGGTCGAAGCACATTGACGTGCAGTATCACTTCGTGCGGGAGCGGGTGCGGTACCAGGAGGTGAAGTTCGATTACTGCTCGACGGAGAGCATGCTGGCGGATGCGTTCACGAAGCCGCTGGCCAAGGTCAAGTTCGAGCAGTGCCGGAAGGGCATGGGAGTGAGCAAGAGGCCGCAGGTCTAAGGGGTTGTCTGCGGAGAAGACTGCAGTGTACTGAGGGTTTGTTAAGTGGAAGGAACTGCAGCGTTATGAGGAAGTTATCAGTGTTCCTTTGGGTTTGAGGAAGAGTTGGGAGTTTTCGTTATCAGTGGAACCTTTTTGGGTTAGGAGTTTGCTTTGCTTTTGGTTCCATAGTTTGTTGTGGGTTAAGTGAGCTAAGGACAACAACAGTGAGTTATCCGCGTGGGAGTGTTGTAGAGTGGTTAGCCTCTCCGGTTAACTCGCTGTGGGATTGCCAGTTGTACGGCAAGGGCAAGCCTCGCATGGCTATGTGGCTGCGTGAGACAGCCCAATGGCTAATGGCTTACATGGACTAACACAGACTATTGGTATTATTGCTATCTTGTAAGAGACAGTTATGATACGGCCGCCATTCACAGGTTAACATACTCATTAGCTAAATTAGCATGAGGGGACCGATCCATACAAAGAGGCTTGGGGGAGGGGGTCCTCCCCAAACTTTTCTCAATCCCTACGCCTTATCGCCTTATTTTATCTTTTTTAACATAATATAAGGTTCCCCAAACTGAATTTTATGGAATGGGCAACATAGGTCAAAGTTGACTTCGTAGAGCTATGTGCTCCAATTGCAGATAGAGTCGTAGGGAGGCTGTGGCGCGCGTTCTGGAGCCAAAGGCGCGTGCCACCGGACAAGGGGGTTCAGCTTCCTCAAAGCTGGAAAAGGGCGGAGCCCCTCCTCTTCAGTACAGGAATGTATTATTACCACTGGAATGAATGCGATTACAGGGGAGTGGAACGACTCAATGGGCCTTATAGACTTGGAATGAGCACGGCATGCGCTCCTGTGACTCCACGGCACCAGATGACCTAACACGGATGTTATACGGACGCTGAACCCCCTTGTTCACTGTAGTTTTAGTGCTCGTTGCATGGCTAGACAAGCTCAGAGCCCCTTGTCCAGCCAAGGCCGGCCGCCTTGTTCACCCACGGCGTACATAGTGTCCTCACTCATTGCACACATTGTTAGGTTACGCCTGTTCAATCGCGCACTCAGTAACGTCTTATCATGCTTGATAACACCCACGCATTAGGCTACAGAACCCAAATCGACGGCGTAACTGCCACATGGGAGTGCTTTCAGGGTCGCGTAGGTCGTTTAGGTTTCACCTACATTACTAACATGATGAGGAGGTCAGGCTCGGCAATCTCGGCATCGTGCTCAGAAGGACTTCAGCCATTGCGCCCCAACATCGCATGTTAGCTTATAGGCGAGGTACCCGTTTGCATTACAGTTCATAGGCATTATGGCACACAAACCAATAGCAATGGCAGGCAACATCGTCACAAAGGATTGTGTGAGCTCAGAGTAGCACAATCGATGGAAGCAAGCATGCTCTCGCCGACTTTCACAGGTAGCCCTTTGGCGACACGCCGCTGTTTCCAATTCATTAAATACTGTTTACGGTACCAGGACAAACCATAGAGGAGCGCTAATCGGTGTTGCCGCGGTGGTCCTTTTGAATGGCTGGTCATTAAATCGTTTGTTGCGAAATTAAGTTTGTTTGGCTTCCAGTTATTTTTACTGAATACAGATAACAAATATCTATTAGGTGCAATAAATAGTTTTGTCTAGTTTGTATGTTTTGCCGTTACGGACACACGGACGGACACACGGACACACGGACACACGGACAGGGGCAATCCTGGGGGGCGAAGCCCCCCCGAAGCCGCTTCGCGGCGGGGGCTCCGCCCAAAAACTTCGGCAACATAATTGATGACGATGGGTTGTTCTCCAGGATAGTGACGCTCACCAAGGAGGGCTGCCAGCGCGCGGTGGTGGTGAAGGAATTTGAGAGCTTTCGCGGCCGGGATGCTCGCTGCTTTCTGCAGATGATGTACCTAGACACCTTTAACTATTTTGTTGAGAATAGCACAGGTGATGCGATAAGATGTTCGCGTTAGATGTCGCTCGTGCTCCCCATGGAGGGTAAGGTGCGGTAAGATGGCGTAAGGCGGCGTAGTCCATATATATTATGTTATATATATTATATATCTGATGAGGCGTAGGGATTGAGAAAATTTTGGGGAGGACCCCAAAACACTGTACTGATGTACTGATTTACTACTCTTTACTGGCTTTCATGTGAGTTGTACCTAAAAATTCAATAATTATGGCAAAATTATTTTTGGTCGTACTCCTTTTTTCGGGTGAAGTCGGCCTGTGTGCTATCAGCACCAAAGGCTCATACAGCGTCCAAGCGCGGTGTGGCTGGCAGCCCGTCTTGATGTTTGCGTAAGGATATGGAAGTTCGCCGACGCAATAGACAGTTCAGCGCACTTAAAGACTGTGCGCGGTAACTAGGGTAATGAAGGCCATGGCGGTGTCTTGGAAAGAAGTGTCTTTACAGCTCCATTGTCACAACGCCGCTCCTTGGCTCCGGCTTTGTTGTCCGTAATTCCTCAACCCTGTCAACCCTGTCTTTCATTCCCCACATGAGAAAGAAGCCATAAAGTTCACAGTATCAAAGTGCTGCTGTTTCATCTTACAGGCGTTCTCGGTTTCGGCGGCTCCGGCGGCCGACGCCGCCAGGCTCATCAGGTCTAGGGCTCAACTTTAGCCGTGAAATTGATTGCCGATAGCCGGCTCTTTGACGTAAGGGTTGAGTATCGTAGCCTTCCTTCTCCTCTACTGTCTCAAACGTCACTGGCATCGCCCAAATGCTGACACATGCACCAAACGAGGCCGCGAAAAACAGTACAGACTAAAGAAAGCCAGACCTTTCAAAAGGCAAATCCTGCCTGCAACAAACAACACAGTGCAAAGCATGTTTCTGCCAGCCGCGAGGTACTTGTACGAACGCTTGTAATTTTTAGGGACTTTTGGCCAATTTTTTGGCAAAAAGGACGCCACACTTTTGGGAGGGTTTACCCCCACAAGCCTCTTTGTATGGATCGGTCCTCTTTGCATGATGTGGTTTAACTCTCGAGCACGGTGTGACGGATAGGGACAAGGCCCCCCTTTCTGCTACCGAATCAGACCGAGACAGGTAAACCTAAGAAAGCACATGGTCAATGCACCGAACGAATGCGCTCTGCGCACGCTTCAGAGGGTTGTACTTTCAGGGTAGAAGGATGGAACGTACCTGCTGGTAGCAACCAGGGCAGCAGCTCCGGCGTCCGTGCATGTGCACCGCAAACCAGAATATTTCCGACCTTTTGTGATGTGCACTTAGAGAATTACTCGTCAAACATCATCCGGTGGTTTTGTATAGACCATGGGTAGCAGATGCACACATTGACGCATGAACGAAGGGCAGCTGGTTGATGAACCGATGTGCCGCCGGCACAGCTCGGAAGGCAGCGTGTGCGAGGAGGCAGGGCCCTAACCCTACCTTGGGCGCAACATGTTGTATAGCAGTTAAGAGCTACGAGTGTGGCTGGGAATGGTAGACGGGGGAGCACGGGTAACGGTGTGCGGGATTGCATGCATTGCTGCGCATTGAGAGCATTGAGACAATGCGAGGTGGGCATTAATGGGTGAAGAGGTACATGACCAACCACTACTGAGCCTATTACGTGTACGATATACGGCATACCATGAGTCAAAGATTAAAATACCGACAAACTAAAGCTGGCTATAGCTTGCTTACTGTTGGTGCCAGACAGAGTAGCAGGGTGGCAGCACTTACTTGCAATTTACACGCGCTCTTTTATTAAATAGTCACAACCCGCAATCATTAATTATCCCCATGTTCCCGTCATGGCGTGCATCTCATGTAACCCAGACCAAGGTATGACTTGCAACCACCGTATACCGCACGCGGCATGCAGTCACAGTATTCCACTTTGCCATACTTCACAGCCTACGGTAAATGACATGCGCGCTGTCCCTCAAGCCCAACGACCCCATTGCCACAACTAGTTAGGATACAAAGACGGAAAGAGTCACCAAGCCAGCGCGTCTCCGTCCGTCACCCCACAGGGTTTGGGAGAATCGTCAGAAGTTACCGCTGCCAACGTCAGCGTACATGGCAAACAACTTCGAGGGGAGCAATGACAACGTACGGCGAGATCGCGTCGAGTAACGGAGAGGGAATACGATTTATTATTGATAACTATAGCTTCCGCACCTCAGCCTCACTGTTAGGCTGCAGTGTGTAGCGAGTAAGGAGCAGGGAGCACACCCCAACCTTGACACGCTACCTTTGTCTTGGTGAAACCCATTGCTGGGACAAAACGTGGAGCGGCAATCCCAGGCATGCACGCAGGCACATTTCCGGCAAGCATGACGACAATAGCAATGTACGTGTACGAATAGGCCACCGCCAACGATCCTAAAGCCCTTAATGGTTGTTAGCCAGCGAGAGAACTCCTTTCACACTCGGACTTCTGCTCGCCACAGATAAACATGCTTATTGCATGGCATGCATGAGCTCGTGACAATAATGGCAGTTGGGATCCGAGACGCTAGACCCTCAAAAAATAGCCATGGCGACAGGGACTGAACATAAATAAACAAAGCGCTCAAAGGCTATTTCTGCAATTCCATTACAATCGCTCGCACATCAAAAATTGGGTGTAATCATGGACGGCTCCCTCCCTTTCTCCCAGCAGGACAGCAGGATGGAGTCATGTATGGCAAGCAACCAAAGGTTACCGGACGGGATTTGGCATTGCAGAGCAGCCATAAGTGAACAAAATAAAAGACGGAACCGCAGCCAACTTACTACCTCCCAGCAGCCGTTTCCCTCCTCAGAGGACAGGGGCAATCGAGCACACGGACTTCCCGCTCCCTACTCCATCAACGTCTTAAACAGTTCCTCTTCGAACGCGCCATGTTGGGCGCATGTGCCGAAGGTCAGGCCTATATCGCCTTCGATGGTGACAGCCGCATCCCCTGCAGCGCCACTTACGATACCTCCGCAGTCGTCGTTGCCCAGGCCGGTGCCACTCCGGTGCAGCGGTCGCTCCTCCACCCAGAAGGTTTCCATGGGCCTGGTGAGGTAGGGTGCAGGGCAGTGGCGATGCGTCGGAGGGTCCGGCGGATGGCGGCGGTGCTAGGCAGGGATGTAAAGATGCAACGGGGCAAACTAGCACTCACGCAGCATAAACGGTTACACGGAGTTCAACACGCTGGACAAAGCAGAGCCTGATCGACTGCCTGAAATAACACTAAATCCGGTTCGACATGTCATAAGAAGCCCCCCGCCCTCTTGCAAGCCCCCGCTGCCGCTTCTTACCCCTTGCCCTTGATCTGCCTAACGCCTCGGCTCGTGACCTGCGCCCCTTCCGGCCATTGCTCCTGCAGCAATGCCGCAAACGCCGCGCTGCAGTGCACTCGGTCCGCCTCGCTGTTGTGTTCCATGCGCGCTGCCGTGTTGACCGCGTCCCCGAACAGGCAGTAGCGCCGGTTGAGGGTGCCCACCACGCTGCCCACCACGGGGCCGCAGTGCAGCCCCACGCGGATGTGCACGCAGCCCAGCTCGGGGTTTCCGGGGTGGATGGGGAGGGAGGTGGCAGCAGCCATGGCAGCGAAGGCGAATTGCGTCATGAGGCGCGCGTGGCAGTCGGGCTGCGGGTAGCACAGGTTGCCGACTGCGAGGTAGGCGTCGCCTACCGTCTCCACCTGGGCAGGGGCCAGGAAAGGATGTGAAGTTGGCGAGGGAAGACAGGACGGAGGGGGGCTAGACAGAGGGTTGTTGATTGAATGACCATTACATTGATTCCCTAAAAGGGAACACGGGTAGGTGATGAACCCAACCCTACATTGCAAGAGACGGTTGCTAGTGGACCTAAGTGGCATACACATTCCCACCCGGTCAGTAGAGCGCATCACTGTCAGACTGGCATTTGCGGACACTTAAAGTACTATAGGTCAGCCTCTGCTGCTTCTTATTGTGTGCGTGGTCGTCAGACGGTACTGATATTTCTGATAGTAACTTCCCTGCGGTTTGACGGCCCAAGCAGACCGGCCAATAACTCTTGACGACCCTCAACTCAATCCCAGACGACCGGTCCGTTATCCAACCCTCACCCCAAAGCAGTCCCAATCCAAAAGTCATACCTTGAACAGCTCAAGGTCCCGAATCAGGTCGTCGAAGAGCGAGTAGAGGCGGTGCATTAGGTCCATGACCTCGTTGGGCTGAAGTTTGCTACACAAATCTGTGTAGCCCACCTGCAGACCCATGGGTCAGCCATGGCCACGTACATCAGTCACGCGGAACATTTCATAGTGACATGCCGCATTTGCAGCGAGTAGCATACCCATGCAGCATCCAACACATGCGATACAGTTGAGGAGTTGGCAATCCGTGGGCTGCCTAAATGAGGCACGTGAGCAGTATCTTACGAAACGATTCTTTGCTAAAGGGCCTCAAACCTTGCTAACGTTACCATCCAGTCGCCTTACCACATCCGAGAAGAAGATGGAGACGCAGTCGTAGCGCTCAGGCTGCACCGCCTCCCCGGCCTGCAGCGCACTGGCGACCTGCGAGCGAACGACGAGCAACAGCAGCGGCATAAGAGTGGCGTCCGCGATGAACATTGCTGATTTTGGCAACATGGCATCCACAGGGGCACTGGCTGCACTTCAGCTCGGTGCAGCCCATGCTTGGCTGAAAATGGGTAAGGCGTCGAAACCGAGACACACGTGTTCCCTAGTCCCCCTCCCTGCAATCTGGCACCTGGTAACCCCCAGTTGGTTACCTTGGGAGGGAAGATGTCGAACAAAAGGTCCTCCCGTGTGACGTGATTTGACCTTCCCGGCTTCCTGCGTTGTGGAAAGGTTAGAAGGGGCAAAGCATGACATTAGTTGCATGTTAGGATGTCTTCGTAGGGCACACCGCTGCCCACCAGGAAACCTGCGCGAACCAGCCGGCCATTCAAGAACATGCCCTGTCCTATTCCGTCTCCAGGCTGCCTATCTTGGCATGGGTTCCGCGTATCCTGTGAGGATCATACATATATCCATAGCGCTACTGCACAATCCGATCCTACAACGCATCTTACGTCGGCAGGAACCCCGCACACCAGACACCATCTTACCTCCGGGGGCCACCCTCAACCGCCGGTGTCAGCTGCAAACTCCTGCGATTACCCCTGGCCTCGCCCGAACTTCCACGCCTCCATCCCCCTTGAAGTCGCTGCCCACCGCCGCCGGTGTTGCTGCCGCCGCTGCCGCCTTCCTCCATTACCACCATTTGCTGCAGATGGTGCTGATGCTGAGAACGGCCCAAACGCACACTTGATGCTGCAGCCAGCAGCCTCCGAAACGTTGACTGCTGCTCGGGCCGCTCGCTCGCTGTTGCTCTGGCCATCAACAGTCCTGACACAGCCGGTAAGGCGGTCTGGGCACCGGAATGCGCCCGCCTACAGGACTGCCGCATGGTGACCGCCAGGGCGGGCATGACCCGCTCCTCCAGCTCCCTCACCACGTCGCTGAACGTGAGCTGCTCCTCCCCTCCCTGCAGCACGCAGGACTTCGCCAGCTCGCCGAGCGCGGGACATATGACGGTAAGCTCTGCGAACGCCTCCTCCAGTTTAGCTGAGGGTACTGCGGGTGGCAGAGCGGCTGCGTTGGCGGCTTGCGGGTAATAAGCGGCAACGGAGGGACCCGGATCCATGTTAGGTGGCGCTCCTGCCTCGCC